ATTTTTTTTTATTTTAAACAGACTTTAAATAAAGAGCAAACACTTTTTTTGCTAATTTTTACATTCGTAAGTTATTTTATTCTGGGGTCCCACATACGAATACAAGTACTAGGTGGCTGTGTGAAAATTACGTTAGCATTCCCAGGAAGGTTTTGCTCCCTCGCATCGCAACGTTTTCTACAAAGGGTTAAAGTTCCCCCTTTTTGGTAAAAATTAGTATTATTTTTCATTACATTCGGTTCTCCTTAGAAAAATTTGGCGCTTAATATTTAGTGGACATTATAGATCCATTTTTTTAAACAGTGGGTCAAAAAGACCCGTTCTGGTTCGAGTTGATGGGTTAAACTTTTGGAAAAAAGTAGACCAACCTTGTTTTCAATATGTAATCTGCAAAAAATCGTAAGAACTCCGTAACTTAACATAACGGTTGATAAGAATATTGCAAAAATTTATTGATGGCGACATAAATTATCCCAATAACCTCACTTTTAAAATTTTTTATTTCTTTAAATTTAAATAGTACATACGGATCTGTCCTGCAGAAAAAAATTATCAATTGATAAAAAATAACCCAGTTGTAGCTAGCTTTTTTGCGGGAAAATATATAACTTGTAGTTATCTACAAAAAGCTAGCTTGAAACTAGTTGACAAGTAATGCAGGAGTATTGAAGGAGATTGTTTTCTTTAAACGCGTTTTGACAAACGCGTTGAGGACAAGTAAAAGGAAGATCGGAATGAATTTCCTGCAGGGTGTAGACCTCAGACCGTCTTCTGTTCGTCCATCGTAATTTAAACTTAAAACTAGTTCAATGAATAAATTAAATAGAATTAAAATCTGAATTGGCTTGGTGAATGCCTAACGCTGACGAAATTACATGATAAGATTAGTAGCCTCATGGCTCTTTGGAATCTACGTCATGGGCAGTAGCGCCGGCGTTTCCAGACGCGCCGGCGTCGCCGCCGCCGCCAATTCTATTTGAAGTTGACCACACCGCCGCCGCAAGGCCTGTCGGCGTAAACCTCTAATACTCACACGTTTTTTTAATTTTAACTCACCTCCAATCTTTTGCTTTCATCCTTTAACTCTTGTAAATCCTGCTGACTCCGATAGATTAGGCCATTTAGTTGGATTTTTTCTCTATTTATCTCATTTTGCGACTTCTCTGCTGCATCGTTCATCTCTTCTAGCATTTGTAGACGCTGCTCGGCGCTAATGTGCCTATTTGTCATGTCGTTTAGACGACTTTCTAGTTTCAGCAACAACACTTTCAGATCTTCTAATGCTTTGGTGCGTTTATCTTTCTCCTTAGACATTTTACGATTCTCCATACGTTGTTGTTGCACTTTATTTGAAAGATTCTGTAGATCCTTTTGCAGCAGTTCCACCTCAAAATAGAAAAAATATATGCTTGTTAATTGAATTGGTTTTGCAAGCCCATTCCAGCTGTACGTATGTATGTATGTACCTCATTTTCCTTCAAAATCGTCATATCGATCAATTTTTGTATCTGCTCTTTAATTTCCGAAGTTTCTTCGTTCAGCACCGATATGGTGTGCTCCACTTCACGATTATCTTTTATAATATTATCCAAATTTGCATCATAACGTTTTTTTTCCTTCAGCACACACTCCGCCTCCCGCCTCAGATTGCTCAATTCCACTTCGTTGTGTCGTACGTCGCGTTCACGCTGCAACATCTGCTGTACGGCGAGCTTCCATGTTTCTACCATTTGGCGACGTTCCATATGCGCCGTGCGATATAATACTGCTGTACATTCAATATTCTGCTCCAGTGATTTCTGTTCATCATACAATTTCACCAGCTCTTTGCGAAGTTTCTCACATTCGTTATGCAACAGCTGCCGACGTGCATCCTTCTGTCGCGCCAACACTTGATCTTCCTTGAAGTATTTCTCAATCAATTGATAACCCTTGTTGGTGTCCTCCATTGCGTCACGCCATTCGAGCAACACCGTTTTGGCCCATTTTACGCGTGAAGTCAAATCATCTATGGCATTTTTTCGTCTACACAGTTCCTCTGAAAGCAAATGAATGGGAGAATTAAAGTGAGTAAGTGTGGAAGTAAGCATAAGTATGCTAGTGGTCTTACTCTCTGTGGTGTTCACATATTCGTTGTAACTCTCAGTCTCCTTATCGATGCGCCTTATGTCGACTTTCAATTTGGACTGCACACGCTCGGCTACTTTAAAGAGATGTGCCTCGGTGTGAACCTCCGATTGATGCGCTTGCAAAAGTTTCTACAAACAAATTATATAAAAACAAATGTACTTCTATTGTTTAATTATGCTGATACGGAGTCTCCGCCGCTTACCAAATTCTGATTTACACACATTTCAGCATTTTTTGAATGCTGCAGTAATTTCTCTAAACGATCCTCTGTTTGTATATTGGATTCCAACAATTGTAGCTTCTCCTCCACCATTTGCTCCATCTCGGCTAGTATACATAAATTTTCCTTATTGGCCATGGGTATTTCCGAGTTGGGATCCCAACCCATGGCCCGCATCGCTTTTTGAATAATATCATCTTGTATTCGAGACTCCTCCTCCGTCGTCATTATTCCTAGTGCACCGTTAAACTTATGACAACTGTATTTATTTCACGTTTACAATAACAATAATAGTTTGGATATTATTTTTATTTAGTCACAAATATAAAGAAAAATAGAGAAAGTTTTATAATTTGGCTGGAATAGTCGACTATCAAATGTTGCATGATGTTTAAAGTGGAAATCCAGTACTGAATTCGGTAAATGATTTATTTCATTGCGTTTCTACGTTTTATCAATAACAGTTTACGTTATAGCAACATGTTTATTACTACAAATATGTGGATAAGTCTGTAAAACAACCCCAATTTTGCTACTCCAACTTATCAACAGGCAAACAGTTTATTATGAAATACATTCAGGAGCTGCATTCTATTTACTTGCGGGACTTTTTCGAAAACCTATCCTTCTACATAATAATAATAATAAATTGGCGCTTACACATATGTTAGTGTTTGGCAGAGCTTCTCCTCCGACTTGTGGCGTGCGCCTTGATGTTGTCACACAAAGCGGAAGGACCTACAGTTTTACCCCGACTCCGAACGGCGATTGTATTTTTATGAGAAGCTGTTTTTCATGGCAGAAATTCACTCGGAGGTTTGCCATTGCCTGCCGAGGGACGACCGCTGTTAAGAAAAATCATTTTTCTATATTTTTTGCGATGTTGCTTTAACCAGGGCTTGAACGCAGGCGCTGCGGAGTGAAAGCGCACACTGCTTGCCACTACACCACAGCGGCCGACTATCCTTCTACATACTCAAAAAAATATTTATATCCTTCTTGGTGAATACACACACTGTGCTATGGAGTAAGCTCCACCTTCCACCATACTCAACTCAGTTCTTTAAAGAAATCTGAGTGCAATAATCCAGCCGAATATTTACTTCCTTGATTTCTGATAGTCTCACTAGTTTCCGTACTCGCCAAAGAGAATCCAGTGCGCTAAATATCTCCATGTGCGTCCACCTGCTTTAATAGCCAATTTAACCTTTCCTTCCAACGATGAATGCAGAAAATCAGTTGATAAATGCTTTCTCAGATCCTTTACAAATTTTTTCTAGAGGCTCTAGGTGGCAATTAAGGCAATCAACCTATCTACTGAAGACGTATGGAAATCGAGCATATTTATATGCATTGAAGATAACCACGTGTATGGTTAAAGAAATACTAGAAGTGATTTTGGGTAGATCCGAAAAAATCTCCATCAACCAGAGAGTTTCTAGGTAGGGATATATCAACGAGATCAAGCCAAAGATAACAAAATTTTAAAGGTTTAAGGGATTTGGGTAAGAACACGTAAAGGCGGCATTGAATTAGGGGGACACTACTGAATCGATAACAGCCGCACGAGGTTGCCCCCAGCCGGGGTGTACTCTCTCCCCTTTTATGTACTATGGTTGTAGAAGAACTTTTTCATACTGAACAGCCAAGAGTACGCGAATGATCTGGTAAACTGAGTAACCGAGCTGCATGAAGAAACCATCAGCAACCGGGTGCAACAAGCCTAGGTATAACTCAAAAATCGTGGGAAGATAACAGACTAACTAATAATCCTACGATAACTACTATTGTACCGTTCAATCGAAGGAAAATTNCGAGCTGCATGAAGAAACCATCAGCAACCGGGTGCAACAAGCCTAGGTATCACTCAAAAATCGTGGGAAGATAACAGACTAACTAATAATCCTACGATAACTACTATTGTACCGTTCAATCGAAGGAAAATTATGTGTGTTTTGAACTGAGAAGTAAAGTTCCTTCTGCAAAAATTTAACCACTCTTTAAAGATTTTTTATTGCTGCACCCATTGCACTTTCTGGGGTTTTTGGCGGTCCTATAAAATGTAGTGGCTATGAAAAAATGGTTAAATAAACAATTGGGTATTATTACTGGGAATCTCCTAAAGAGAAACAGAGTCTTCCGATCGAAAAATATTGATTTTTAGGAATTCTATACCATTTCTACGAAAAGTTGTTTTTTTTTTCCATACGAAATACATGGAAAACTTTGAGCGCTTTCAGCGACCTCTAAATACTTTTTGATTTTAAAATAACATTAACATAAGGTTATACTTTTTTCGTTATAGTACGATGCTGGGGTGTAAGAGCATAAAAATTCAGACTTTAGTTTTCACATGCATTTTTAGACCACCCTAACGTACATCCATATGCCTAACCTTGTTCTGTGTAGTGAACTACTCGTACCTAAACAGAGATTAAAACAGTTTGCAAAAACCTTCAGGCTTAAGAAAACCGGCGATCAAGAACCTCATTCGGATAGCTGAAGGTACTTAAGGCAGTATAGAGTTTTGAATGAGAAGCATTTTTTCAGTGTATCAATTTTAACATTTCTTGGTTTCATTTTATATTTGTCTAGTTTATATTATTTAAAATATGTAAATTAAACTAGCTATAGATTTATACAAAATTTACAATCGATTTCGTAACTTTTTAGTTTTTAGTATAAATATGTATTTCTTGATCTTACATCATATTGCTTCCAACATCGTCCAGAAGAAATCGTGGAAATATGTTATCTACGCTATCACTACATACTACACCACCCATACTTGACTCCAGCTGTGGTGAATACAACCTCATGTTTTGCAATTTCTGTGTTGGTGAATTGCAATCATCACTGCAGGGGGCCAACGGCGGCGGTGCTACCGCAGAACGCATACTAGAAGGTGACAAGTGTTTACCTTGATTTCCAATACCCATTTTATTACAAGACTCCACGACTATATCATCGATAGCTTTGGTGAGTAGCGCCTCATCGACGTTGCCATTGCAATCGCTAACAGCGGTAATGGCTGCAATCTCGGCGCTGGCTGGCGAATTCTGTGCATCACCCGTATGTACTCTAGTATTTTCCAAAAATTCTTTGATGAAGCTTTCCGATATATCATCAGTGGTGTGATCATGTGCTTGCTTATTCAAACTCTGTCCTGTTTCACCTTCTAACGGTACAGCATCAACCTCGTCTGACAGACATGTCGGAGGTTGGCACTTGTGTGTTCGCTGGGAGACCTTATAGCGAAAGCTCTTCTGACACACATCACATTTGTAGGGCATAATGCCAGTATGTATGCGTGTATGAACCAAGAAGGAGACACGTTGTCGAAAACATTTTCCTGGAGAAGATGAAAGTTTTGGGGAAAATTAGGTTGTGTCTTACAAATTTATAATGCAATATTTACTTAAAAACATACCACACACTTCGCACTTAAACGGCTTTTCTCCACTATGTATTCGTTCGTGATTGTGTAGAGTCGAAAGCTCCTTGAAAGCTCGTCCACAAGTTGAACAGACATGTGGCTTTTCATTACTGTGATATAGCAGGTGTTTGTGATAAGATTGCTGAAAGGTGAAAGTGCGCGCACAAATCTCACAAGTGTAGGGCATCTCACCTGAAAGTATGTACAGAGAAATTCGTATTAATGTTGAATGCATAAAAGTGTTTTTTGTGCTGCCTACAGCGTCGTTCATATACTGGTAAGATGAGCATTGGCCAACGTTTTCTTTGATGGGAAACATTTAATGCCTTAGTTGATTATATTTTAGACTTAACATTACTGTGGAACCACAAATAGCCAAGCTTTGTGCTTTTCAGTTTAGGTAATAGGCTAATTATGACCCAACTCGTTGCATTGCCCACTGAAATAGATTATTGTGCTCCAGGTTACTCTGCCAAAATGAAATTTACTACTCGTCCTCCCGATAGGAATGAGTCCAAATCAGACGTATATAGTGCAGGGAGTTCCAAAATGGAAGCGTGGGTTAGAGGTAACGCAACTTTTTTTCGCATACATAAATAAAATTGTGTATCTAAGACCAAGCTAATGACTATTTATTGGGTCACATAACTATAAAAGTGCTATACGTTTCCCGGATACATCTACATTTTCACAGACAATCAGGTAGAGAGCATCGCGGGTGTATGTGTAAAAGCCAGCTAGGTGCTTTTTTTTTACCACAGCTACAATAATTTTACTTTTAACAATCATACTCCCAGGGCTCACCTACCCCTGACCTAAATCCTACTCAATGGCATCAAAATATATCTAGTGATAGGGGCAGCTGGAATGATAAAAATATCAAGAAATACTCGGTTCGCGAGTGAGTACAGAGACCAAAGCGCCTTAGCGGCAAACAACAGGATATTTCTTCTCAGAGTTCCGGGTCGCAAAGACCTTGAACTTACCAAAGAGGCAGACATGCTTTCCAGGACATCATAGGTGCCGAGCTCTTCTTTGCAATAGGACCACACGCCTTCCGAGAAGAGTTTTGGAGATTAGAAAGAACAAGTAGAAACCCACTCTGAAATCAGGAAAAGATATGGCAAGCTTTTTGACTTCCCAAAGAACAAATTCAAAACTAAGTTAAACATGTTATTGCTGATTAAGAAGTCATTTGAATAAAACTCCATATCTGGCTTAACGATTTATGCCGATCCTCGACCACTACATTTGGCCAAAAAAATATCGAAGTTGTCTTGCAAAAACAAGAAAACGACAAATCTTATATCACAAGTTTTATTGTAGTCCTTGCTGGGCACTTAATATCTACCAAGTCAGAAAACTAGTTGGGTGTCGCCAACACTCGTATATGGTATTTATGTGAAAGCATATTTTAAATTTTTATATGCATTTGCTTGTCTTTCGGTACAATTTTTTCTCAAATTAGGTCATCCTTAGGCGAAACCTTGGATTTTCTCCCTTTCTTAAATTTCTCGTGATAAACAGACAATCTCTTACTTGAATGTGTTTATGATGTCGTTAAAAAATCTGCAGTATTCTCAGACGTTATGAACGCAGCTCTAGGTGTCGCAGTGAGGGCCAGGAAGCTATTCTTGTACTATTCACAAAAAGTTATAAATCAAACCTAAGTTCAGTCACTCTTGCACAGACTGTGCTCAACTGACTACTCCGACGAGGTCAAATATCTTGGTATCAGCCTTGATATGTGGTAGAGTTGTAACTGTCACATAAAACAAACTTTTAGTAAAGCCACTCGAGACATGTAAAAAACTTATACCTCTGTAGTTTGGTGCGCAAAATCTTTCCAAAGAACTGTGGTTTACAGTTTAAATGAACTACAAAGGTGGAAAGCCAACCTCTCGGTCACAGTATCCATTTATAACAACGATCATCAGACAGATTTTTAGGAAAAATCCCGGCGGCTATTAAGATGCGTTTTTTCTGATTCTATTCTAAAAGAAATTTCCTAAATTAATGGTTTTTAGTGAATAGGCAAGTCAAGCTTGAAAGAAAAAAACAGATGTGGGTATCTATGGTCCGGCCCTAAACTTGCTATTGCAATGGTTCATAATTTTTCAAGCCGAGGTGCTAGCAATCTCGTGACATCGAAACCAGTGAGCCTAACGGCTATGAACTTTATAAAAAAATCATAATTTAACCCCTAAAAATTTATTTCTATATTTCCGAACAAATTTAACCATTTTTCCGGATCATATTATAAACGTTATTTTCAAATTTAATCTTTTAGATCATAAATGATTTGAATTTATCATAAAAACGCAGTCTCCAATATATGTAACGGTTAAATACACTGAGTTACAGCAAAAATGTTCAATGGATGCCACTATCCAATTTCTATATAGAATTGCTCGCTGATTCCGAAAATCTAGTTGATTTTTTATTCTAATTATAAGTTTTCGAGATATTTTCAATTTACCGTTATTCAGCTTAAAACAAAAATTGGTTCAATTTAATCACGCATAACTTACGAACCAATTTAACAATCTTAATATGAAATAAGGCTAATAAAATTTTCCATAAACCACATATACATCACTTTCCGATAGGACTTATAGTTTTTGACAGATCAATTAATCATTCCAGTTTTTTTTATTTTTTAATGGAAAAATTAAAAAAATCAAAGTTAAACTGAAGAAAAATTGAAAAAATAACAGGTTCTGTGCCAAATTTTTGCATCTGTGCTTAAGCCTGTTCTGTTGCAAAAAAAATCAAGTTACTACTGAAGAAAATCGATGGATAAATAAAGAAATAATAGTGGTCAAATGAAAATACGCAAAGATTTTTTGTATGAAAAACAAGCAGGAAATAAAGTTGCTCATACGCCACGTACACCTGAAAAACGCGTGGTTCAAAATACAAATATTCCGACGAATTGATAACCTTCTACTTCGGTTAAACAAGTAATTTTTAAGCAAAGAACAAAACGACTTCAATTGTCATATACAAATTTAAGATTATTATTAATTTCTTTATGATATAATGATCGGATTTAAACGAAATTAGTATGGCACCACCTGTGAGGTAATACCTTTACTTTAAAAAAAAAGAAAACAAGAAAAAAGAATTATAGAAATCGGTTAACGTTGTCCAAAGTTATGCGGTTACAGACATAAAAAAAATATTCTGACGAATTGATAGCCTTTCTTTTTTGTGAAGTCGGTTAAAAAATAACAATTTTTCAATGATTTAAAAACTCTTGACATTTAACAGTTATGTCCAGCGTTAGCCAAGCAAAACTAATGTGGTTTGATTTGTCGACAGCCAATCTCTTAGGTACAAGGAAATCATCTAATAGGACAATTTTAGCATTCATTAGAGAAGCTTAAATTATCTTTGGCTTTAACGGTAATGAGAAGGAGTCGATGTTGATTAATAGATTTCGTATTGTTTTGGTCGTATCGACTTGGTATGCCTCTTTTGTGCTTAGCAAATTTACCTTTCATTGAATATAAACGGGTAGATATATAACAAGTACCTTAATCCATTTGGAGACGACCAATTTTTTATTTCTCTTGCCTCCTATATCAAAATATGGGATTTCAGAAAAAGTGGACTTAGCAACTTTTCACTCTAAACTAGCCACATGTAAGTTTGTTTTTGTACTTCAACAAAACAGAGCAACAATTAGTTTCTACCGACACTGTTGAACAACAAATCTGTTATACTGGTATCCTAGTAACGGCACTCCAAAAAGCTCGAAATAAAACCAAAACATACACAAGTAGAAGAGTAACGGAAATTATATTTTTTATTTACACCATGGACGTTTTAACAGAAAACTTACTTTGGGAAGACAAAGAAATTAAATTCGACACACCAAATATGTAAGTGCATACTGATTGCATGTTTAAATAACTGACTAATTGATATATCTCGTAACACTTTAGACAAAACCATCTGCGTAATGGTGAAAATGTTTTGGATACCATTTACCACATCGAGGATACGAAAGGCAATCCTGGAGATACTGGACGACTCTTAGCAACCAACTTGCGTATTATTTGGTATTCCCTATCGCATAAAAAATATAATTTGTGTAAGAGGAAAATAGAGTACTTAGCAAAAGTAGATATTTCTCTAATATAATCCTTAAACACTTTTAATTGATTTTTCTCATATTTAAGCTATCGGCTATGCTCGCTTTGTCAACACCAACACACGCTCAGTGGTCCCCAAAGTGGGTGGCCCTACCCAAGCGCTCTACATACTGGCAACCGGCAGTAATACGCGTTTTGAATTTCTCTTCACTGATGTCTCTGGCGATACGGCACGCAGGAATACGCCAATTTTCCAAAGCGTTTTCGAAATATATCAGTATGTACATACATATATACATTCATATGTACTACATATTTAACTCAATTTGAAATGGTACGCTTTCTTTATTTGGTGCATTTTCGCTTCAGATTATATCAACGCACATACCTGTACAGAGACCTGAAATTACGTGGCGCCATTGTACTATCGGGACAACTGATAATTATGCCAGACGAATTGGTCTATAATAATGTTAACGGTGTTTGGAATTTGTCTAGCGATCAAGGCAATTTGGGTTCATTTGTGGTGACCAATATACGTTTGGTGTGGTTTGCCGATGCCAATGATACTTTCAATATTAGTTTACCCTATCTACAAATTGCAAACGTAAGTATCCATTAGTATTAATAGGTGCAATCCCGTATTCCTCGGACTCGGACTAGTCAAAAAATAAAAATTCGCTCAGAGCGAAAGAGTAACATTGAAAAGTATGGGATCGCTTTCTAGTAAAAAATGGTAACTGCTGTCAACTTCAACATAACCTCCAAATTTTGGTTGTAAATTTTTGCTTATTTTGAATGTAAACACACTCAGCTCACACATGTAAATAACCAAAAATACTTTCCAATTCATTAGAATCCACTTAAACAAGTAATTAAATACTTTTCAACATGAATTAGCAGAGTGCACTTTTCTTTTGTTTACAATTTGGTTGCCAAAAACACTACAGCTGATCGTTTGACACATTTACCAGAATTTACCAGCAAAAAATTCTCGGACTAAAACTGGTAACTTCTGACAGAGAGAGAATCGTATTTACTCTCTTTTTTGTCCTCTCAATAGTCAGAGAACCGAGTACGGGATCGATTTCCAGTAAAATCTGACTGATTCTGACTATGTCTGACTAGTCCGGACTCGTACGGCATCGCAACTAATATGTATGTACGTAAATATGTATAATAGCGGTACCTTTCTTCTTTCTTTCTTTCTTCGCCTAACGGCTTCTTATGTCAAATGGCTACTGTTGATTGGTTGGGGCGACCAATAAAAAATCGTTAGTATTAAAAAATGGTTAAATAAGCAATTGGGTATTACTATTGAACGTCTCCTGAAGAGAACGTGAGTTGTCCGATCGAAAAGTATTGATTTTCAAGAATTCTATATATACAATTTCTATGAAAAGTGGATTTTCCATATAAAATGTGTATATGGAAAAGTTTCAGCACTTTGAGCGACCTCTAAAAATTTTTTGATTTCAAAATAAAAAAAAAATCGGTATACTTTTTACGATATAGAACAATCCTAGGGTGTGGGAACATTAAAATTCGGACTTTACACTTTTTGGACCGCCCTAATGTACATATGTATGTCGATGGCCCGCTATGGTGTAGTGGTAAGCAGTGCGCGCTTCCACTCCGCAACGCCTGGGTTCAAGCCCTGGTCAAAGCAACATCACAAAAAATATAGGAAAAGGGTTTTTCTTAACAGCGGTCGTCCCTCGGCAGGAATGGCAAACCTCCGAGTGTATTTCTGCCATGAAAAACAGCTTCTCATAAAAATACAATCGCCGTTCGGAGTCGGCGTAAAACTGTAGGTCCCTCCGCTTTGTGTGACAACATCAAGGCGCACGTCACAAATTGGAGGAGAAGCTCGGCCAAACACTAACATATGTGTAAGCACCAATCTATTATTATTATTATTATTATTATTATTATTATGTCGTTGGCCCGAACTACTTTATCTCATCTGGTCGTTGGAATTTCTGAGAAATCGCCTATTGACGTTTTGTTTGGCCCACCGCAATTTTTCTTATAACTATTTATTCAAAATTCTTGGTAGCCTCTCTGATAAGTCGCGACTATCTATTTCTATATTAAAATTTCGTAAATTCGATAACCGTAAATTCATAACTTTTGTAATAGGGTAGTGAAGTTATAAGTTTTAGATCGATTTTTGATGTGTAAACATCTTAGCTCTCAGTGTGGCAAAAATTTGGGTTAACCCAGCATAAAATGTTTATCTGCTTTATGTGTAACCCATCAGAAAATCTGTAATTATTCTTGTGTGGAAATGAACATTTCTCTAATTCAGGGCTAGCGACGACTAGGTTAGGACCATGTCGGGACTAGTTCGAGATGATTTTTATACGCTTTCGGTACAGTTTCGGGACTAATTCCCAACTATTTGAGGACCATTTTAAGCCTAGATGTGGACCATTTCGAGACTGGTTAAGGACTATTTCGAGACTAGTTCAGGACAATTTTGGGTCTACATAGGTTAGGATTATTTTGTGTCCATTTTGGGGCTAGTTTGGGACCATTTTAGGAGAGATACTGAAGCACTTCGGGATCGGGTTAAGACTTTTTCGAGATTCTTTTGGCACAAGTTCCCGACTTTCTCGACCAAAACCTTGGGTCTGTTTAGGACTATTTCAGGAGCATTTCGGGACTAATTCGGAATAATTTTTAGACCGTTTCAGGACTATTTCGGGTAAGGGATCATGATAAAACCGTTTTAAGACTTGACCGAAACCCTTTCGGGACCAGTTCACGACTTTTTCAGAACAACTTCAATACTAATTCGTTCCTAATTCTTCATTGAATAGAGAGCAGTAATTCTCGTGTATTCTTCACTATCCCCAACATGTTACATTTTCTAATCCAGCAGATTATTTTAAATTCTCAGTTTATAAGACAATCTGTCACTTTATGAAGTAAAACATTTATGGGAGCATTAGAGTGCAACTTAGAACAGATGGCAAAAGAAGTTGGTTTAGTGACAAACTGGGACAAGACAAAGACTTGCCGTTGTAGTAGTTGTCCAGGCCTATGCAGATCATGTGGCCTAGCTCATTACGGGGCATTCTCTGACAGTTGTTTGCCGGAAATCGCAACGAACACTGAATATGATTGACATTTTGTGTAGTGAGCATGGGCTGTTTGCTAACCCAACCAAGACTAGCGTTGTGCTCTTCACTAGAACCAACCTTAGGATGGTTCAACTCCCACCACAATTTAAGTCAAGTATCTAGGAGTAATTCTGGATTTCAAACTTCCATGGAAGCCACATGTTGAGCATAAGACCTCAAAAGCTTTGTCGCAAAGAAAGTAGTTGGTGACTACATTTCCTCAACGCGATTCGCTTTTTCTTTCTAACTTGTTGCCTGATGACATCATCAAGAGCATCCCTCACATTCTATATATTTCCCTTCCCGATAGCTGTTTTTATGTTTTCCAATTTAGCTCCTCACGTTATTCTCCTATTTACATATGTATGCACATACACATGTTTATCTTCTTCTATTTACAGATACGCATTCGTGAGTCGAAGTATGGGCCCGCGCTAGTTATACAAACAGCCGAAACTGGAGGTGGCTATGTGCTCGGCTTTCGCATAGACCCGGTTGAACGGCTGAATGAAATCTACAAGGAACTCATATCACTGCATGCCATTTATTCGGAGAATCCCAACTTTGGCGTACGTTATGACTCAGCGGATGCACAAAAACGATTAGCTAGCATGAAAGAGGCCGAGGAATTCAAGCCCGATGAGTTTCTGGAGATCGATGAACGTCAAGAGCGCGAGGTCAACACTAAACTTAATACCTATTTGGCAGAAGGTACTGCAGTAACCGGCACTGAGGCACCAACACGGGAACCGGTCTATTGCAAAGAGTTGGGATTCGCAATGGAGCGTATACGTGACGGCTACAAGTTACAGGATTTATGGGATGTATTGCCGCGGGTAGAAGGAGAGTAAGAATACATAAGTAAATGTTTTGAGGATACACGTAGTATTTCTAAAAAAATAAAATATGTACTGAAAGCTTTGAAGCAGCATAACTTTTTTACCATTTTTTGCTCACCCGTATGCAGACGCTTATGCTTTTTCAAGAAGTATTTTGTGGTGAAGGTTTTCGCGCATTCATTACACTTCCACATTTTGGAGCTTTCCGCTGCAGTTTTACCCTGGGGCTCCGCAGTTGCGCCGCCACCAGCAATCGCCGTGGTCACCGCGTCTATGCCGGCCGCGGCTGCCGGGTTTGTATTAATGACTAACAGCACATTTGAATTTAGCGGCGCGCCCTCTACAGCATGCACAAATTCACCGTTACTATTCAAATTCAACAAACTGCCCATTGCATTAGCCGCTACCGATGGCGCGGGTAACAAAGTCAGTGCACCGAACGTAAAGCCATTGGACACTTGCGGCGCGACCTGTGGCGAGTTTGCGGTCAATGTTATTTGATGTTGTGGTTGCAATGACTGCTGTGCGGTTAGTACTGGTGGTTGCGGCAATATTTGCTCGTCGCTAATATCCGTTTTCAATGACGTGGACTGCGGCACATTGAGTGGACCAACTTTGCTGGCAGTTGTCCCAACCTTGGACTCCTTGTGTCGTATGCGATCGCATATGCTTAGTTTGGGACTGTTGCCTGAGTAGGGCAAGCACATTAGGTGTACGACTTTCAAATGCACGCGTAGAGAACCCTTCATTTTGAAGGTCTTCGAACAAAGATGACATTTAAAATCGGGTTCGGTGGAAGTGACGGCATTGGCTGAGTGATCGTTGCTGGTGTGGCTCACATTCTGATGAACAAGACGAAAGTGCATGTTGCGCAGCTCCTCATCACGAAAGGTAAACTCACAAATATCACACGTGGAGAGGGTGGCCGCCGATTCCTTTTCAGATTTATCATTTGTGCCATCAACCGCTTGCTGACTAAACACAGTACTGACATTTACATTTTCCACTCTTTGTGAGGCAACTTCGACAACTTGTCGCGATTTTTTAGTTTTCTTTTCCTTATTAGAACGCTTCATTGGTGCAGATGATGAGCTGGTTGCATCTTGCGTTTCTAATTTCATCTCTGACTTCACCGCTGCCTTTTTCGTCATTTCAGTTTCCACTGGTCTTCTGGTATCTGTCGCCACTGCTGCCGCCTCTGTTGCTGCACTCATCATTACGCTTGTATGGCTAAATAGATGAATGGTCAACTTGTCCAAACCCAAAAAGAGTTCATGGCAAATGGGACAGGCCAGTGGCCCATTGGCCGCTTTAATTAAGCTGATACGCAACGCGTCGATATTCGGAAAATTTGTCTGCGCACAAAGTGGACACTTCAATGCGGCCAGTGAACACATTTTCGGAAATTTCAAAAACGAGTAGGATGACCTCACTATTGGGCAAAAAAAAACACAAATTAGACAAGATTCAGTGCGAACTGACAGCTCCAAAGTAGCACACCAAACGTATTGTACGCGTGCCACATACTACTAATTTTTTCCCAAACTTGGTAACTGTTTTATAAATTCCAATAAAATCATAAAACTATTTCGTAAATTCTGTAATTACATATTTAACACAAACGACAACGAAAACGACTCGCTCGAGAACACGTCTTTCGTACTCGCACAAGAATTTCTTTTTAAGCTAGCGACCCAACGAAATAGACGCATATTTCAGTTTTCTAAAAATAAATTAAATTTCTGTATTAAAAATGAATGAAAAACAAATTTTTTCTCTCTTTCGGCCTACAAAACGTTCATTTGGCCATTCGCTCGTCCGCCGATCCCACAGCCAGCAGCTGTTGCTGCGGTTGGTTTCGTTGCCGCCGATAGTCCTCATCCAATATTATTTGAACACAGGCACATGTACATACATACATAGAATGACTGCATTTTCCGAACTACGTACATACATATGTATGTACATTATTCGTTGGTTCCAAATACTAGACGTCTATATTGTTTTAGAAACGATTTTTGTTGTATTCAGTTTTGACCTCATTCTTGGTATTTAGCCATCATTTCTTTTCGCCTAAATTTTGTAAACAATTTACTTAATACTCTTTCGATTGTACGAAAATGCATGTAAAGGGAATTTTCGAAATGTTTTTTTAAAGAGCAATAGCCAATCTGTACTTGGCAGTGCGGTGGCTGAATTTGGTGACTGTGTTATGTTGACGGTGATGTTAGAATATTCTTTATACACAAACTGGCTAATACCCGGCGTACTTCGCTACGCCTCGTGAGCAATTTTGCATCAACGTTAAGGAGAACCCGTATTGAAACTCAAGTGGGAAAACCTCTTCAGGAGAAGAATGTTGCCTTTATTAGTATCCATAATTCATCCGGCCATTGTTACCCTAAGTCCTTAAAGATTTTAATAATAAAAGGCTTAAAATATACATACATATGTGTGTATGAATATATTTTATACTTTTTTCATATAAGGAATGTACAGCATAAATTAAATATGTAACAGTATGCTTATAAAATAGAGTTATTTGAATTTTAGTTGTTGTACACTTCAGTAAAAACCATGATAAAAACATAGCAAGGTATAACCGTTCTCTCAATTTGTCGGCCATGATTGCCAACATTTTAAAATCATATAAAAGTGAAAATAAAAAATTGAAATTGTTCGAAATTGTTGTTGCTTGAGATTGAAAATGAAAATGTGTGTGTGAGTTTGTGAGTAAATTTAAAAATTAAATTGTTTGGAAACGTCAAGAATCTTAAAAGTGACTCTCAGCGGTTCTACCTTACTATATTTTTATCATGGTAAAAACAACGTTTCGCGTTTCATTTCCATTTCCTTGAATAAGAAAAGTTTGATTTTCTGATGAACCGATACGTGAAAGTGCCACATATAAGTTGGGTTCCCCAACTTTTCTGGGTTAAAACCTGTAAAACAGTCAAAAGGCAAAAGGCAAAAGAAGCCAGAGAACCGAGTACGGGAACCCTTTCTGGTAAATTCCCGTAAATTCTTGCAACTTCTTGTGAGTTAGGGAACGCAACCATAGTTAGCCATGCGTAAACACTTCGTTACGAAGATCAATGCCGACAACGTTGAATGTTTGCCCTTGGGACTTATTGATGGTAATGGAAAAGCATGTCTCTACTGGAAACTGGGCTCGAATCGTCACATACGATATCGTACTACTCGTCACGTAAAAACACATTTTTCGGATTATGAACGGATGTTACGATTCGAGCCCTGGGCACGTTTAAACGTAAATGGAAAATCCGTTGGGATCATTGGTTTCCTTGGAATCATCGTTATTTCTCCCGTTGTCGGACCGGTCGAAATTTTTGCCTTATAAGATTGGGAAAAAAGTATAATTTGAAGACGCGTACCATTACACAACTCAGGTGGCTTAAGATTGCGTAAAAGAATTATGGGTGTCTCAGCTTCTAGTTTTAGCTCATGTAGAGGCATATCTGCGGGGTTTAGGGAGTTACACAGTTTACACAGAAAGTGTTTAAAATTTGCTCTATTTTTTTTAGTTAACGCATATTAAGAAAGGTTCCTCTCCTAAGGTATGCAAATTTACACCGTGTTAATAAAATTAAACAATGCCTGTTTACTTTTACATACCAAATTTATCGCGTAAAGCAAAATTACACGTAAAATGTACTTAATTTTTATTTTTCCTACTACTTTTTTTTACTACTTTTTGCGTTAAAAACGTTAGCAATTTTATACATTTCATGTGTATATTTTGAACGTCTCAAGTTCAAAAATCCAAATGAACATCATATGCGTATACTTACACAGATTTTGGTTGAAAATAAACACTTTACAGTAGTAGTTTTACATACAGTTTTTAGAGTGTATAAACAAATTATGAAACGAACACTGAAGCAGCACTGACGATAAAAAACGGCACTGTGCCGGACGTGTCTGAACAACTCTATTTGGGACTAAGGCAACGATATTATATTTTTCACTGGCACTGATAGGTACGGCACTGATGTGTGTAGATAAACTTTTATTTTAAAATTCACCTATATAATTGATTTGAGGTCGATAAATAAACGCAGATATGATTACGATTGCAGATTGTCGCGGCAGATCGCGTTGAAAGCATCGTTTCTATTCGCACCGCCGCCACTATTCTCCGATTGCGGGCCATTGCTCTCGCAGCTGTCGTTTGTCTTGACAAATTTGTTTTAGTTTTAGGCATTTTTAAATACTTCGCACTATTATGTTACTTAAAAGATTTTTTTATATATTTAGTAACAGAATTTCACTTTATTTAAGCCAAAAAACTCTGCCTTTAACGCACTTGCTAATTTATCAACTTCGCGAAAAGATGTACTGAATTCCCATAAAGCCCAACAAATAGACATACATACATAAGTATGTGCGTCATTTAGGGGATTCCCTTAAACTCGATATCATTTTGCTAGGTATATCTTTGGCGCAAAAGCGATGATCTTTCGATTTTTATTTCTCTATATGTTAGCAATACACACGCGGTCGCGAACGTACTAATAATGGAAGTCGCTTTTGACTGCAAATTGAAAAATGTAAGAAACTGCGAAATGGAACAGAATATTCTAAAGCGATTAAATTCACAGGTCCACAAAAAAATCGATGAAAAGTTCCTTTGACCAAACCTAGTCTGTTATATGTTTTTAGGGACGCTGAACACGAATCTGAAGTCCGTTTTGCTTCATCACGTCTGGATTTTTTTCTAACATCAAAAACCATCTCGGACTTTACGTGACAGAGAAAATCCGAGGTGTTTTTTGAGGTTAGGAAAAAATCCAGACGTGATGGAGCAAAACGGACTTCAGGTTCGTGTTCAGGTCAAAGGAACCTTTCATCGATATTTTTTAAGGACCTCCTATTACCTAATTTTATGTTTTTTATTTATAAGCTTAAGTACCAGTCGCGAACGTATGATTTTGCCAGCATTTTTTATACCTTTCAAAAAAATGGTTCGATGTTTGTAAGCAAGAAGAAGTAGGAAGATATAGAGCGCCACATAAATGTTTGCCGAAATTATCAGCACTTTTATAACGTATTAATCATTTGTCGCAACCGTCAGAATCGGACTACCATAATTTATAGCTCCCATACGAAGGATTGTTAATTTTAGTTCTCGGTTCTGGTTGACCATTCTGTGGAAATGCTCATATACAATTTTAAAAGAACATTTTCGATACTTATCCGCCCTTGTGCACCACAAATTTTTTTTTCACTTTTACAGAGTTTTATCTTTTATTTGATACCCCTATTGTAATCTTAGATTGTACTAAATTTTTAAAATTATTTATGAAATAATTAGTCTGTTCGACAAGCTGATAATTATTGATAATTATCACAAATTATCAAGTTTTAGCGTTTGCGTACGAAAAAAATTGCAAAATAGGTGAAATCAAAAGCGCAAAGTGACAATTAGGGATGTTCCGGGTATCCGGTAGATATCCGGAATCCAGCTTATCTGGTCGTTTTTCTGTTGTCCGACTATGCGGCCAGATTTCGGGATTTCGAGTATAGAGAGTTCAATTTAAAAATGTAGTTTAGATTTTTCCTTTGTTTTCATAATCAAATTTAATACTATTTACCTAAGTAATTAGTAATTAGAGTTAAAAATTTATATATTTTTCATTATTTCAAGAAGCATTACCGCATTACCGGTCAACAGCCTATTTCCATTTTCAATATAAATGCTTCCCGATGCACTAAACACCCTTTCTGAGTTCACTGGGGAAGGCGGTTCGCAGAGATGCTTCAATGCCAGTGTGAACAAATTTGGGAATACTTTCCGACTATTCTTCCGCCAAATTGAAGGATCTGGGTATAAGAGGTAGCTGTAAATCTTTCTCCATTTCCCTATTGTTAACCAGCTAACCAGAGTCGAAATATCTTTTGGCGACCACGATCCGCGAGCTATTTAAGCTGACAGTTCACACTGCAAAGCCATTAGACCCGACGGAATTTGCATGCCTATGCCAAAAAATTTGGGCCCCGTGGGAGTGGACTATTTAACCTAGCTCCTCAAACTGTCTATGGTCACTCTCATCGTTCCAGACATCTGAAAAATGGGGAGAGTGTTCCCACTGCTAAAGGAGAGTCCTATCGCCCGATAACTCTCCTTTCCCTGGTAGCGAAGACACTAGCGGTCCTTCTACTCTCGCAGTACACAAACCACTTGACCCCAGTGAAGCATCAGCATGGGTTACTGCACAGCACAACAACAGTACTTAACGATATAAACACCCAGATAACTCGTGGCTTTAACCGAAAGCGACCATGGGAGAGAACTATTCTAGTGGCGTTGGACCTATCCAAGGGGCTCGACACCGTCAGCTACTCCGCGCTACTAGAAGATATAGAGGCCTCCTCTCTCCCCCAGGGGCTCAAACGGTGGTCGGCGAATTATCTGAGTGGTCGACCCTCGTCCTTAATGTTTAGAGACAAATCAAGCAAGCCTGTAATAATCTGGCCATAAGTAAGTATCTAAAAAAAAAAATAGAATATAGCAATATTATGAAATTAAGGGCAGCAGTCTACGGGATATGCGATTGGATCTCTACCCGGCACATCCCTAGCGACAATTTATTTTTACCAGCAGCGGTTTGCCAGCAAGGAAAACACCTGGCCAAAGTCATCTGTTCTCAATTCATGGAAAAATCTAATTTATTTTATTGATTTTTACGTTTAAAATAACTTATAAGAACTCCAAATACTTGTCAAGAATGGAAATACTAATTTTCTAACGTTTGCTTTTAATTTAAATTCTTCTTATTTATGCTTCAGTAATGTAAACAACATTTCGATCGGCTGTACCTAAAACTTGGAATTTTTGGCTAATTTTGCGTTCATGTACATTTTTAGATAATTTCCATTTGAGCATGAATCGTTCGTAACTCTCTTGCAAGTTGCTGCTGGATACACTGGTTTACAGCAAAATTGTTCTATGGATGCTACTATCCAATTCCCATAGAGGATTGCTCGCTGATTCCGAAAATCGACAATTTTTTTTTTTCTATAGATAACTTTTCGAGATATTTGCAATTTACCGTGAATTCAGCTTAAAAAATAGTGGTTCACTTAATCACGTAGATCTTACGAACTAATTGAATAATTATTATTATTATTATAATCGTTGCTCATCGCGAGTATACGATGATAGTATATCGTATAAATGTTGTATAGCTTGGGAATCTTGTGTAAAACCGTGATCGGTACGGCAACAATCTTGCAGCATTTTAATCTCCCAATAGCCCCAGAACCGCAAAACACATTCTCCTACTCTTCAGGATAGAACATACGCAGACGTTGCGTCGGAAACACTGAGTCAAAACCTGGCAGAAGGAGTATGAAAGAAATGATTTATGAGTTAAGGAT